GAACTGAATGCTTTTCTATTGCTTAATGTTTTGGGAGATTGGGACTTTCAAAGAAGGGGTTGGGAATTGGGGAGCTGGAGCATAATTACAGGTGATATATCCTTTATTTATAAGTTAAATAAACATGTTTTAGAGCATCCTTAGTCTTTGGAGTCAGAGAGAAGTGGCCCATTCCTTATAATGCCATTTGTCAGATCTGCCAGAGACTTAGAACAATGGCCTGTGTGAACTGTGGACTTGATTCATAACAGCAAATACTGCATTGATATTTGGCACCACTGTCCCTCAGAGGCCTCGATATTTAAGCGCTGTCCTTGCCTACAGCCCTCAAGACCCAAAGCTGACAAGAGCCACTGAGTACATTATAACCACCACTATTCATTTAGTCTTGGTCAACCAGGTCTATTTTATACAGTATACAATCTCCCTGATGTTTACAAACAATCTTCTAAATGAGCATAACCTCTGGATAGTCACAAAGTTGGCCCACCATGCCTGGCTGGGATGTGAATGATCATTTATCCATTGTTGGATCTTATTTTAATTGCTTTCATCAAACCTGCAGGAAGTCTAGAAGTATCTAAGACAAAAGATAGTCTGTGTTCACTTTCTCACATCCCACTCACCAAACCGAGATGCTTTTGAGGCTTTTATCTAGGTTTTATTTAGCTATTTTATAAATTGAATACTATAATTCAATACTAATAACAGATCTTCTTCCCTGAGATCCCACCTCCCTTAGCTGTATGACACCACTTTGCAACCTTGACAGCCAGTTCTTTTCAACTTCCATCCTGGGCTGCTCCTCCTCTGTCCTCTCCAAGTTCTACCCTTGGGCAGCCCACCTCTCTCTGCCATGGCTGCTGCCTCCACTCCTGAAGCCCTGAGAATTGTTACTATTCCATCTACAGCTCCTCATCACTTACTTTGCTTGCAAGTAAGCAAGGGCAGCTTTGCTATAAGCACCTCACGCCTCCCTTTTCCCCCCTTCTAGATGTCTCCTCCAAAAAGCTCATTCTCACTTTATGCTAATATCTCTGGCCAGTTGTTCTCAACCCTGCTTGCACATTAGAATCATGAAAAATGGAAACTAAAACATGATATGTAGGCTACAGCCTTGAAGATTCTAATTTAGAAGATCTGAAGTGGTCCAAAGGCATTAGTATTTTTTAAATACTATTCTCCCTTTACTATTAACATAAATCTTCATCTTTTTGTCTGAGATGTAGCTTTGACAGCCCTTCTCAAGAGCTGCCACTTCGGTGTCATTATCTCCATGGTTCCAGGCCCTGGAGCAGGAGCTTAATGGCCGTTTATTGTTTTAAGTAAGGTATCCACACAGCTTGGTTTCCTCAGGACAGATCCAATTCACACCCAATGTTCTGGTGTTCCATTCAATTAGCTATCCTGCCCCTTTCATTCTCTAAGGTGTCTCATTTTGTACAATAAATGATATAGCCCCCTAAGCGTACCTAAAGGTCCGAAAATACTTAGTGTTATAGGCTGAATTGCATCCATCCTGCCAGGTCAGAATGTGACTATATTTAGAGATAGGGCTTTTAAAGATACGATTAAGTTTAAATGAGGCCATTAGGGTGGGCCATAAACCAATCTGACTAGTGTCCTTATAAGAAGAGGAGATTTGGACACACAGACATCAGGGATTCACACATGCACACCGAGGGAAGACCACATGAGGACATAAGAAGGGGGCCCTCTGCAAGCCAAGGAGGGAGGCCTCAGGAGAGACCAAACCTGCTGATGTGTTGATCTTGGACTTTCGCCTGCAGAAGTATGAGAAAATACACTTCTGTTGTCCAAGCCATTCAGTCTGTGACATTTATTATGGCAGCTATACCAAACTAATAAATATAAAGATAATAAAACCAACCTAAATATTGTTTCCTAAATATTCCAGTCCTCCCAGATGGATGCTTAGACCATTTTCCAAGAAACTCACTCTTTTGATTTTAGATCTTTTGGTTTCCTTAATTGTGCAATAAAGGACTTGACTTCACAGGACGCTTTTAGCTGTCATGCATTCCGAATCCATAAGACCATTTCCTGGTGGAAGACTGAGGCCCCCATCTCTCTGGTAGTAAATGAGAGGGTGACAATGAAGGTCACATATGGTTACAATGGGTAAGGTACAGTTCCTACTCTCAAGGAGCCACACACAGATTTAGAAATGTCTCATCTCCACACAACAAATGACTAGTGACTTATATGAAGGCTCAGTGCAGGGTCACTAAGCCAGCCTGGAGGAGAATTTAGAAAGTTCCCATGTGGGACAGTCAAAGTGACTTTTAATGGATGAAAAGGAACATGATGGTGAGAGGAGGTGATGGGACAGGTATTCCTTACAGAAGAAACACTGTTATAAAACAAAACAAAATGAAACAAAAGCAAAAGTGGAAGAGAAACCATGTTCTTCTTTTTGGTATTTCCCTCACTTCCCAACACTCTCAATTTCAAATCCAGTCCTTTTCCTCTGCCCTCAGAGGTCAGAAAATACAGCTGTTATCCCTCACATTTTTTAACCCTTTAAGTATTTGGAGACTTAAAACCTACAAATTTTGTACTTCCAGCTTTTCTTTCCCTTGGCTAGTAATTCTAGTCTCTCCAGGCTAGTCTCCAAACTTTTAAACCCAGTTCATCCACTGGTGCTCACTGCACCCACCAACATGCACACACGCACACACACACTTGCACTCATGCACACTCAAGCCGAAAGGGTCTGCAATTCACCAAAAGGCTCTTAAATTTAAGAAAATATATTGGTTCTGTCTGCTCACAAAGTAGAGATTAAGGTCACATCCATCATACAGCTATGTGAACCATCAAATCGTCAGTATATTTCCTTCATTAAATAGAAAGCAAAAGACTCAGACTGGCACATGTCAGTCATTCTGAGGGATGACTCTGTATGCCCAGAGGAAAGTGTGTTTCCTTCTCCAGTACTGACAAGTGAATAAATAATCTTGCCATTTGCAGGTGTTTAAAAACATCAGAGAACTGAAATAGATCAACCCCACTGTTAGGGGATGCATTTCTACCAGGAAACACTACCGTTCTTCAAATCTTACATCATGGCATAAATACAACAGCCCTTGTTTTCCACACAGATTCCTACTTCTTTCACACCCAAGCATATGCTAAGAGCTCTCAAAAACTGTTCTTCCATATCTGGGAGGTGTCTTAAAACATTTTTAGCTCATCAAACACAAAATAGAGGACGATTTGTTTCTGTACTCAAGGATAATCATTTTCAACTGCTTATTTATACTGAAGATAGAAACCTATAGATTGAAATAAACATATTTTCATTCTAAAGTTGTCATCTGCACTGCCATAAAGGGTGCAACAATAGTGTGTGAAAAACAATTATCCAGGAAGTTCCACCTTGCTGCACAATGTTCAGACCAAGGGTTCATTCGACTTCAAAAGTGAATAGCATTAAAGAACCAAGTAAGAGCATTAGCCTACTGAACTAATGGGACCACATGTAGACAGAAAACACCAAAAATGATAGTAAAATGTGTGGCTAAAAAGTAATCCTGTATCTTACCACATATATGCAAAGGACCAGTTTCCTTTGGAAGCACCCAATAAGAAATGATGGATTAAAAGTCTAGAATTCTGCTGTATAATACAGTAGCAACTAATCATATATGGCTATTTAAATTAATAAAAATTAAATACAATTAGAAATTCAGTTCTTCAGTTGTACTAGACACATTTTGAGAGCTCAATAGCCACATGTGGCCAGTCATTGCCATATTGAGCAGCAAAGATACTGGAAATTTCTATCATTACACAAAGTTGTATTGGACAGCACCGGTCCAGAGGATTCTGACTATTGGGTTAGCATCATTTTAAACATCCGGCCTTAAAGAGATGTTGGGGAACATAGCACATCTGCCAAATGTGATGATCCATGGCAGGAAATTATGGTGGAAAGGGAAAAAAATTTCCACTCTTGGAATGGGCTAATATAGTGTTGACATTTTACTACAAGAAATATTCTTAGACAAGCAGAAATATCTTGGGCTAAAATGGAAACAAGTTAGTAGTTACTATTAGTTGAATACCTCATCACACTCCTTTAAATGGTCATAAAAAGTACCAGCCTCTTGTCATCTGTTTGTGGCTGATTGGACTTCATCAGTCATCTTTCAAATACTATTCATCTATCCCTCACTTCCTGCTCCCAGTGTTCTGTTTTTTTGAATAGTAACAAAGGATTTTTGCCTATATATTTAAATAAATAGAATTCCATCAAAAAAATGCAGACTCTTCCCATTTTACAAAAAAAGGCAAAAGCTTTATTTTAAACAAATCCTCAGTTGTGTGTTACACCATGTCCATATCTAAATCAAAAATCATAATGATAATGCAAAGGAAACAGAGGGTTTCATAAAAGCACATTATCCAAATATTACTCTTGGCCAATGTTCTAACTAAATACACAGTGGATGTGAAAGGTACAGTATGGCACTTAAATAAATAAGAGCAGAGAGAAGGAAACATATTCACAGTCCAAAGTAATAGGTTTTTGAACCTTTGGTATATGTCTCAAATAAGCATCCATGAACACATGTTAGCCAATAGTGTTTAGCTCCAGATTTCTTAAGCCAGTGATTTTGTGTTTGTTTCAAAAATAACTGATAAAATTATAAACCAGGATTAATGTGGGCCGATTAAGGTCTCTGGTGTGAGCACACAGGTAAATCCAAACCATGGCAAAATGAAGTGCAGCTGTGTTGCACAACATAACTATATAATAAAATGAATGAAATATACCAGTTTGAAATTCTTTGTCTAGGGTAAACACCCTTAATATTAACAACAACAAAAAAAATAAATGCTATCCAAAGTCCACAAGCTGGAAGGCAGAAATACCCCAAAGCTCATAACCACATGCCTAACAGTGCACAACCATCTCATAGAAGTGCTATAGTTGCATATTGCAGTTCCCTCCCTCCCACCCATCCCCTGCCCCTAATAAACAGCACCAGTGCAGTTTGAGTTAAAAAACTGGAAATATCAAGACATTCCTAAGGTTTTCATAATGACTAAGGGCTAGTCAGATGGAGCTTTAATGCAAACCGCTGTCATGGACATTCCCCAAAAATCACCCCATGTAATTCCCTCTAGCTTGCAGATAAACCGTATTAGGTTTACTGTAAGGCCAGATTCAGAAAAAAGCTGGCATGCTATCCTGGGTTGAAGGAGAGGGGCATGCTGATGGGGGAGGTACATGAAGGATGCCTCAAGGATGTTTGTCCTGCAGCCCAGGATGAAGGGATGTGTTGAAATAGGTCACAGATTTTGTACCAGTGAAATATTTGACTCATGCCATTCACCAAGATACAGAGCTCAACAAGCTCAGTCCTACTTGGAAGCTGTGCAAGTCCACTGTTATCGGGATCAGATTGGGCCATAAAAGAAAAGGGCCCCCAAAAGTCCAACCCATCCATCTCATCACTCTACACAACTATCCTTGTGGAACCCATGGTGTGTCATGTGGTCAAGGTTCTAAGGTTCTACTTTCTCTCCTCTCCCACTGATACAGCCTTACCCTACACCTCAACGGTGAGAGTCACAAGAATGGGGGCCGACAGAGCCACTCTCCAAGTAGTCATTGGCCTCGGGGCTACCTGTCACCCACCAGGCCTTTCCAAAACCTGCCCTTTCACACATAGGCAGAGTCACTGGACTGAGTCCTGCCAAAATTGGGAACACTGACCCTGGGCAGGTCCTTGTTGCGGATCTCATAGACTGACTTCCTCTTGGCTTGGGCCCCTCGCACAGCCAGCTTGATCTTCCGCCATCCCAGGTGGTTGAGTTCGGCCAGGTTGAGCACAACGCAGATGCCACTCACAGCAAACATGAACACTAAAAAGACAGTCTTCTCAGTAGGCCGGGACACATAACATTCCACCTCCTTGATGCAGGGATAGCGGTCACACTCATACAGCCCCGGGACACTGAAGCCATAGAGAAAATATTGGCCCACCAGAAACCCAATCTCCAGGGCATTTCGGAACACCACTTGGATAATGTAGAAGCGGGAGATGCCTTCCTGCCTCCGGAGCTTGGATCGTGCTGCAGTGCGCAGCCCGGATGGATGTGGAGTCAGCTCCTTGACCTCTAAACAGTCTGGCTCTGTTTCCTTGCTGGTGTTCTCTGTGTTCTGCAGCACCCCATTGACAATGGCATTTTGCAGCTTCTTATCTTCTCGTTTGCCACCACCACTGCCCCCACCCCCAGCTCCTCCAGGAACGCCCATGGACTCAGGGGCATCTCTGTCCAGTGCAAGGAAGACAGTAGAGTAGCGGCGTTCTCGCTGCTTGGCAGATTGGTGCACAGAGTAAGTGATGAAGCAGAGACTGGGAGTACACACCATTATGATCTGGAAGACCCAGTAACGAATGTGGGAGATGGGGAAGGCGCGGTCATAGCAGGCCTGGTTACAGCCAGGCTGCAGGGTGTTGCACACAAACATGGTCTGCTCATCGTCATACACGGTCTCCCCCACAATGGCCACAATGAGGATCCGGAAGATCACCACCACAGTCAACAGGATCCTGAGCAGGGGAAGAGCAATGGAGAGAGATTCTTACCCGCTGAGTCACTGATTTAGGAACCCCTGGCCCTGCTGCCCTGCTCTGGGTGTTTTCCAGCATTTTGGCTGGGGAGCTGTCCACGCTTGCCTGGTACTGAGCTGGGAATCTAGGAAACCTTTTTGTCTCTTACCTTTCTGCTAGGTATACTGGGAACACTTTATATTACAGGGATCTCAGGTGTATATATATATATATATATCTAGATACTGAACATTTACAACGGATTTCATCTGTATATATGGAATGCACAGAGGCACAAAACACACCTTCACTCTGAATGTGGCAAATGAACATGGAATATCTGAACAGAGTACCTGTTTCAAAGTCTACACAGAGGGTGTATATAACTACATCAAGTAGATATTTAGTTCATTTTGTGTGGATATTGAATTTGATGCTTTATATAAACAGATAGCTATGAAATATATATCCATATATACATAAATATTGTATCTATATGTGTGTGTGTATACACGTATATACATGAAGACACAGAAGTATCAGTTGGGTGGGTGGTTTCTGACGCTGTGTATATCTTAACCGCCAAACCAATTTAGCTTCCTAAGTATTTGTTGGGAAAAGATACATCTGCTAGGAAGAGCGAATCCAGCTGCCCATTTGCCCTTCTCTGTCCAAATACAATCTTGCCTTCCTTGTAGATTCTATTTAGGGAACCGGATGGAGATTGGCTCCGACACAGGGGTGTGGGGGAAGCGCGACTGAGCCAACAAGTCCTTTCCTTATGGGAGAATAGTGAACCCCCGGCGGTGCTCCACAGGGAAGGGATGGAGGGCTGACCGGGGGCAGCTGGGGAGGAGGGCATCGCTGGGATCCGGTAATCCCTTGGTGCTGGGAACACAGACTCGCGGACAGAGGACGATGGCGAGGGGGTAGAGGATGGGCTGGGGGCTGTTGGGGTTTGGTCTGGACGGGAGAGGGGCTGCCCGGGGCCGCCCGACGGGGCCCGCGGCCGGCCGGCTCGGCGCCCTTACCTCCCGATCATGGTGGAGTGCTGCTGCACCGCGGCTTCCAGCAGCCTCTCCAAGATGGTCCATTCCCCCATCGCTGTGCATCCGGAGGCGGCAGACAAAGACTGGGCAGCACGGGGCACGTTCCCGCTCCTGGCCCCTCCCCGGGCCGCACCTCCCGGCTGGAAGCAATTGCCCCGATTAAAGAAGTAAACAATTTTTAAAAAAAATCCACGAGTCCCCTCTCCCTTTTATTGTACTTAAAAGAGGGAAGTGAGGAAAGGAATCCAAGCGCGCCCCGACTGATGGGGCAGCTGGCGCGGCCCGGGGAGCGGGCACGAACCTCCCGCGCCGTCCGGGGTGGCGGCGCGCCGGTCCGCCAGTTCCTGCCCGCGGGGGAGAGTCTCCGGGCGCCGCTCGCCCCGGGGCTGGGGCCGGGGAAGGTGCGGACAGCGGCCCCGCGCCTGGCGCTTCAACGGGCGCCGGGCGCTCCCGCGCTGCGTCCTGCCAGGCCCGGGCGGAGCGCGCGGAGCTGCCTGCCGGGCTCGGGAATCCGCGGCCGCCGCCTCTAATCCGCCCTTAAGTAGTCTCCGCCTGCGTCACGCCAGGTCGGCGGAGCGGAGCCGAGCGCGGCGGGCGGCTGTCGCTGCGCGCGGGGCCCGAGGGGCAGGGGACGCGCGCAGGGGGCGGGGTGAGAGTCCCGGGGACCCAGCGGGGAGTGGGGCGACTTCGAGAGGAAAGATCGAAGCGCCTCTCGGGGCTTCTCCAGGCGCCCAGGTGGCCTTACCTGACCGCCAGCCCCCGGAGGGAGGAGGGGGAGCCAGGAGCAGAGGCGCGGGTGAGGGCGGAGGGGCGTGGGGAGGCAGGCTCGCTTCTCTCCGCGCGTCCCTTGTCTCACGCTTAGCTGGGGTAGGCAACTGAAATCCCCTCTCGGAATAGAGACGCTGCAGGGGGAAGAAGAGTGGGGGGCGACAGGAGGACACTTTTAAATCTCCCTTGGAGAGGACTGCGTGGCTGAGAGGGAGCCTGCTTTCGGTACCTCCGTGGATCCGATGCCGGGGTGAGGAAGGCTTGGTGAGAGTCCACTTAGGCTGCCGCCTAACTGCACGTGTGAAGAAGCTGCGTCTGAGGATGGGCCAAGTCTGCACCAAGGAGGTGCCTAGCGAGAGCGGGTGTGTGACCGTGGTTAAGGTCTCGCTTCCTCCGGCGCCAACCCCGAGGCTCTGCTATTTTTTTAAATTTTTTATTTATTTGTTAATGCGGAGGAGGAGGTACTTCCCTGGGTAACTGTGGTCTAATCTGAACTTGAAGAGGCCCAGTATAATACTAGCAGAACCGAAGCCGCTGCCAGCCGCACCCTGCCTCCCCTTTCCTTATGGGGCTTCGGCTTTCTCCCCCTGGACCAGCAGATCCTGGTTTCTGTTTTTAAATTTACCTTTCCGTCTTCAGTTCTGTCTAGAGCAACTGCTTAATTGGTCATTAGAAAATTGAAACAATCGCACCAGGCTGCTAATTAGCTCAGGGATCACTATTAGGAGACACGGTAGTTTGGGAGTGTTTCATATACATGCACCAAAAGCACAATGGGTAAGTAGTTGTCATCCTTTTAAAAATGCAACTGTGAAAAGGTTGCTACCTTATTCCAGGTATATAATGCAGCATTAATTATCCACAGGGATCATAGTACATATGTGTATTCCGTAAGCCACACCATGATAAGCCTTCAGTTCTAGAGCAACCAAGGTGGCTGGGTAAGTGGTGGCCTAGGAGTGGGAAGAAGGGCATGGGTTTGAGTCCACTCACAAGGCACTTCTGATAAAACAACCTTTAAAGGCAAACCCAACTTCAGTGTGGGAGGGATCAGTGATCAAATCTTCTAGGCCTGACACCTTTAACCCAAGGAAGCAGCCTCTTATTGCAAAGTAAAAGGGTTCACTAAAAATGAAGAAAAGTATAGGTATAAATGAAACATTAGGCTAAAGCAGGTATTCCTCATTTCCTGCTGGGCAGGGAGGAGGTGCAAAGATGAGGATGATGGATGTGTATCTTGTTATCCAATTGGCTTCCAGAAGGAATGGTGATCCCCCAACTCAGACTTGGTGTGTTTTCGCAGATGTGTCTCCTTCTTCCTTAGGACTTGGGTCTCTGGGTGCCCTCCTTCTCTGGAAGAAACTTTTAGAGTAAAGGCTCTCAGGCAAGGAGTGAATTAATGAGAAAGGCTCACAGGAAATCTGTTTAACATATTTAAATGTCCCTAAATAAGCTATACAATTCAAAGTCTTTATGATCTATATATGTAGCTTAGGTTGCAGGAAACACGTTGTAAATGTTCTTAATGTAGTTTCCAAGCAGCAGGCTCTTACTGCACTGTCAATAGTTAATTTATTATTTTGAAATATATTTAATTCAACAGATTCAACATATGAACACATATATAAACAAACAAGAACACTTATACACAGAACCTATTTTTTAAAAGTCTCATCTATTGGATTCAGTAACCTTTTTTTGATAAAAACCTTATCACCACTGTACTTTGAAAACAAATAACTTTTAATTTTTAAAAATCATTCATAACTGTTTTATACTTATGTTGTATTTCCTTTTTTTAGCCTTATAAATGCCACTTTTAATTAATAATTTGCCCTGATAGTGCTACATTAAATATAAAAGGTTCTGTGTAGAGCTTGGCATCTCTGAGTTTCCTCAGAGTATTGTCTCAACTAGTTAGGTTTGTACTGTCTCAAACTCCGCAGTTGATGATGATCCCCATTTAAATGGACTGGGAAGTTCTTTCCTTTAGCCCTTATTTAAAACTCATTTTACTCTATTAAAGCAATGGTTTGGGATGAAAAACAATGGAACTCATAGAATAAATTGTGTTTTGCATTAGGCCATCTGGGGAAGCTTACTAAAAATACAGAAGCTGGGGTCCCACCCAAACCTGCTAAGTTAAAATCAATGGAGGCCAGGTTTAAGTACCTGCATTTTTATTAACTTCTTGCCATCATCTCTGATAACAATAAGAATTGAGAACTTCAGTGTCTGTGATTATTAGGGCAGGAATGAACTTTAGAAATCAGGAAATCCCGTCCCCTTGTTTCATAGGTGTTTAAGTTGACTCCCAAATCAGGTGGCTTGCCTAAAGTCATACAAGTAGCTAAGGAAAGAGCTATGAAGAAAGTGATATTTAAGAATCCTAGAGAAGAGGACCAAATAATTTAAAAGGATGGTAAATGTGACCTTTGAGGAAGGAAAAGATAATTATGGTGGTTTGGATCATGCGGACATGACCACCTGCAAGCATCTAAAGGGAAATAATACCTGGATGTTAGCTTTGCAAAGCCATGTCTTACCAAAGAGTAATAATACCTCCACTAATAGAGCAGGAAAATATTATCCGCATCAAGAGGGGGAAACTATAATGGCTTACAGCAAAGGGCATTGTTGAATATTCTGATACAGGGAGAGAACAGAGAGTTAACAACAATGATCCAATCTACTATATGGGTATATCTGAATTTGCTCTTATCCTTATATGTGCTTGGAACTTCATTCTTTTCTCAACCACAGATTCCCAGATGAAAATGTTAGCTTTGCAGCTTCAAACATTTTGTAAGTTTGGTAAATGAAACCGCCTAGGAAATTTGTACAAGGTGTAAGAATGAATCTATTGACCTCTCCTCTACTGGACCATGAATTCTTGGAGAGCAGAGGGCATGCTTCCTATGTCATGTGCTTTTCATAGTGCCTGTAGCGTAGTGGAAACTTAAGTTTGTTGAAGAAGTAAGGGTAGCTACTCTGGCTTTCTATCCTGCTCAACCTGGGAAAGCTGCAGTTCCCTGAGAGACATGGGTTCCCTGGGACTACTCCCCAGGGACTGTAAGTTACATTCAGACTGAGAGGAGGAGAAAGGGGTTCACTTTTGTCTGGTGAAAGTTCCTATACCCTTGGGGTAGCCTGGACCCCTCATTAAAAAGCCTTCTTTCTCACTACCACCCCTGTACTCCCACTCTGTGTTGCTCTCACTCACTGTGGTCTTAACACCCACAGAAACAGCCCGGAGGCTTCTGCTGAGCACGCAGCCTCGGAGAGGCAGCCTAGGAGAGCCGAAGAGCTGATCACAGCCCTAGACACAGAGGCTCCAGAGAGTGCCAGCTTCTGTGGCCTTCTGGGGTTTTTGTGGCTCAGGAGGCACAGCATTCAGTTTGGGATTGGTCTCTGTGTTTAAGTCTTCCACATTTCATTCACAAACAGCTAGGATTAACTGAGCTTTATCTCCCCAGTAGCCTACGTACATCTGTTTCCTAATGAAACCATCAGATAAATTGTCTTGAGGGGCAAACCCAACCTGTAAAAGAACATAAGTGGCAAATGAAATCTACTCCTTGCTGCAAAGTAATTTTTCTCTCGTGTGTCCTTCCCTATGTTTAAGCCCCAGCTCAAATGTTTAGGCAAACACTTTTATTTTTGTTTTCCAGACAAAATTTACAGAGTAATATTTCTTACGGGACTAAAACTATCCAACTCACCAATCTTAAGTAGCCCTAAATATGGTGGCTTCCTGGGTGGCCTAGGACTCCCGAGAGAGAGCCTGTTACCTTCAGAACTATTGCGCAGTCTCATGGACAAAAATTCCAAACCAAGTCTCTTAGTTCTAAGAAACTATGTATCCAAATAATGGGGGATATATCTTCTAATCACTAGTCCTTTAAATAAAAGGGTATGTATCCCTTTAAAAAAAGCACATGTACAAATTCCCCATTCCCCACCCAGTTTTTATATAGAGAATATACCTCTGTGTAGTAATATCTCTGGGACTAACTTAATATGACATTGTGGCCAAAGCAGATGTGTGAAATCACAGCAAATAAATTAACACTGCATCACGAATCAAATCAGCCCTTCTGACACATAATCTTTCACGTTTATGTCAAGTCGTGATTCCCATTCACATCAGGAGCTTTCCAGGGGGGCTCATTAAACCTGCAGGAAGAGGTTTCTTTTAAGTCAACACTATTCAAGAGTCATTCAGCTATAGGGCAGAACAGCCTGCCTGGGGTCCGGGTGCCAGCCTCTTCACGCTCCCATTGTTGCTGTCCAGCCAGTTACAGCCGGGCAGGATATAGCTGGGCTCCCAGCTGAGTGCATTTCCAGTCTGTATAAAGGAGACGAGAAAATTGCAGGGGAAATGAACGTGGGTAGGACCTGCCCTTGGCAGAAGAGTTAAGCTGGGAGAATACATGTTAGGTCCCACATGCACCCTTCCTGCACTTTTTCCACACCAGAGTATGCTGCTAAAAGTTGGATTCATCCAGCTGCTTCATATCTACAGCCAAGAGAATTATGTGGAATTGATATTTATCCCCAGAGGAAACTTCTCAAAGATCTGAAGCTTATTTTTAAGGTTCTTCCTTGCTTTCATAATCATACATGTATTCTCCTGATTGCCTGGTATCTTGGCCTCCTGAAACTCAGTCAGTTCTTGTTTTTGCCAGGACTCTGGGGCCTCAGACATGGCCCAGAGGCTTTTGCAATTTTCCAGTTCTTGTCAACTTATCTGCCTTCTGATCACTTTTGGACCAACATCCAAGTCTGGTGTGGAGAACCTCCTTGTTTCTGGAGCTGGGGTGAGACTGAAATGGGACTACCACTCGTTCCTTACTCACATTATGTTCAGCTCCCTTTCTGCAGTGTTTTGATAGTCAGCCAAGGGTGTCAGGAGTGTGGGCTCCAACTTGTCCATTTGATTGTCTTACCTGACTTTCAGAATGCCACACCATATTTCTCCTTTTGATATTACTTCATCATTCCATTTGACTAACAACTGCCTTTGGTCATGTCTCCCATCCCTGGAACTCACTTTGTATCCACATCCAAGTGACCTTTGAACCTCCACCATTGTGCTTCACCCACTCCCC